AGTACCCACTATTCAGGACCATAAGGCCTCGATTCAAGGGTTTTCCCCTTGAGCCCGAAATCCCAAAGCACGGAGGCTGGCCAAAGAGCAGGGGGTCATGCTCGTGCCTGGCTATATGCTCGGGAACTCTCAACTCTACCAGGTCGGAGCTTTGGGGTTTTGAGGGCTTTAGGGTTTAGGGCCGGGGTTTTTTGTCGGGCTCTTAGGATTTTGGGGTTTACAAGGGATTTGAGCAAAAAAGAGTCTACCTAAAACCCAAAAGCAGGTGAAATAATGGCCAACACCGCTATAAGGCTATAATTCTACATGCTTTCGGGTTTCAGGTAGGGGTTTACAGGCACTTCAGACGGGTTTTGAACGAGTTTGTCGCGCGTTGCAAGGAGGCTGGGGATTTCACAAGCGCGTCTTTGGGTTTTCAGAAGGGTTTTATGTGAGGCTATGTTGGTTTCTTAGCTCTTTAACACCCAACCTGTAAACTTCTTTGGGTTCTTATAACTTAGTAGCAATCCGAAAGTTTGACCTTTCATTTCCCTGGCTTGTTGGGGAAGTACTTAAAGGATCATGGGACTCAGTAAGTAGGGTTATAACTAAGGTAGCTATACTTATAACCCCCCATTAGGGGACTTATAACCTTACTTACTAAGTCCCATGATCCTCCAAGTAGGGTTTAGTAGCTTCCCCTAAACCCTAAACCCTAAACCCTAAACCCTAAACCTTAGCTTCATCAGGGTTAGCCAAGGGGTTCTCGGGTTTTATTTAAAGGCTTCTGGGTCCCTATCGGGACTTGATCAAGGTTCTATAGCAGCTTAACAGAGCGGGTCAGGGCTGACGGAACTGTAAATATAACTTTTCTAGTATATCTGTATGTATATATATATATATATGTGTATATCTTGTGTGTATATATAGTTCTATATATATATATATNNTATATATGTATATACATATGTATGTGGGGTTTGGGGTAAGGGTTTAGAGCTTGGGGATTGTATGTTTTCCCCCTGCCTGTCCCGCATGCCGGATGTCTCCTGGCGCTTGTGGAGACCTTGGGGCTCCGGCTTTAGGAACTTTAGGTCTTAGGGTTTAGGGTTTA